TTTTTCTCCACCTCCTCTTTGATGTGCGCCGCTAATGCTTGGCGATCCTCCTCAGTATAGCTGCTGAGGTCGAGGGCTTCCTCCATAGTCTACTTCCCTAGCCGAACCCTTTTGTAGCTAACCACACCTCGGGATCCCGTATGATATCAGCACGCTAGCGTGTTAGGATGATCCGAACTGGGGGTAGCTTGTCGCAAGACGTGTGTTGAATAGGGTGTCGGCAACTCGGCGAACTCGCGCCAAGGAGGAAAGACGTGTAGGGTTTGTTGCATAAACTTCTCTTTCACATGAACTCACATGAACTCACACAAACTTACATGAACTTCATGAAGTTACATGCGCGTGCACGCACCACCATGAGGGGGCGACGCAGTATACAACAGGGGTACCTTGCACACCCTGGAAATACATTCCACGTACCACACAATCCTACAACCACTTGGCATTGCTACAAGTATATCTATCAATCACGAACGAACATGTTGAGGCAGAAGTAGGACACACCTTTCTTTGCAACGGCACTTCTGCGGGTACATTCCAACCGAAGGTAGCACCTTGGTTTAGTGCATCTGTTTGAATACATGTACTGCTTCTACAGCAGTCCAGCCGAATTTCTGTTCGATACCTAAGCCAAAGGATCTAGAACTCTTTCTTGTTTGCATTTTTTGATTGAATGACTATAGTCTGACTGACTTCCATTGCGGGGGAGTGTTGGAATATTCAATGTCAGTGATTAGGATTTGCTGCTGTACACTACACACAAGCAGGAGGTACTCACCTAAGGAGTACTACCGGAACAGTCTTCGGGATGTTGATTCAGGAATCGGATCATTGTACACACCTAGACTACGGGTTAGACTATGCATTAAACCATAGAAGCATGGTACATCGGACTGTTGTCTTACAGGATATTCTAGTAACGTTGCCATAGGTCGGACTGACCGTCTTTTACCGTGATCGGTACGTTGCAATAGCCCGTGTGTGTTTCCTTTCCGTGATGACGGTGGATGGCTCGCCCCCGTGGTGCTCGGCCCCATTCGTTCGTCTCTCCCTTTTTCTCCCTTCTCTCTTCTCTACTTTCGGCTAACTAAGCGCCAATACAACGATATCATCTGGTCTACAACACAAGTGTACTTTTCAGTCAGTCTGTGAGCCTCTGCACAACAAACAGTGTTCTACACAGTGGCCACAGCCAGGGATACAACCTGCACAGGTTTAGACTACATCCCAACATCTGTACGCACTAGACTAAACGAGTGGATGTGGGGCCGTGTCCATGCAAGAGGCCTGTCAACGCGGCGACTTCGACAGAGGTTCGAATCAGTCATCTTTTGTTTTTTGTAGAGGGAACCGAAAACGAGACGCTATTTTCTCAAAAGTAGACCATTAAAATAGTGCCGTTTAGCCTGCACGAGTGGGTACACGCCACTTGCTTGTGTAGCAGCTATGTTCTCATCCACCCCACTCCAAAATCGCTCGCGCGAATTCCGAGAACTTGCTAGTGCACCGAGGCGCTATCTCGCTCAAGGTGCAGCAGCCTGTAGATAGATGCTCCTTTGGCGTCGTGTCCATTTTCGAGGAAATTTGGCAATTATACCGAGTGATTGACTAATCCCCCCCCCCCTAAATACATTCCACGTACCACACAATCCTACAACCACTTGGCATTGCTACAAGTATATCTATCATGTGATACGCAGCAGCAGCAGCAGCAGCAGCAGCATCGGCGGCAGTTAGACACACATCCGATGATTTGTCATTTCTTCTCTACTGGCTGTTTGTTTCACCCCACTTGTGGCGTCAGGTGAGGAAGAGCACGAGGAGGGAGATACCGTTTTCTTGCCGACAGGAGACAACAAAGACTTCCGACTGTTTCGGGCGAAACTGAGGGCCGGATCTGACGAGAAGTGGAAAGAGCAGCTTCGAAGAAACGTTAACGTCGGGCAACTCGCGGGGCAGGATGCCTGGGCGCACGAGCTCAGCGCCCCCGAAAAGGGCTGCCTTATCATTGCCAAGAGCACCCAGTTCAGCATGGCCCAAACGTACTTCAACGAGGTAAAGCCATCTTTGGTCGGCCGTTTCAACGTGCGGTACCAGGCAGCCGTCGGCCGATTAGCTGACGGACAACTCCGAGGTTGTTCGTAGAACTCTTGCCGGCCATTGCCGCCAACCAACGGCAGCAGCTTCGACGAAGATTCGGAACGCACGCTCGGTGTGTGTTGTCTCCTTCGACATATTTTGCGCATTTATTGTGTGTCTGATCAGGCTGTAATTTTCTTGGCGAGCTACGACGAGGCCGGGTCGGCAGGGTTCATCCTTAATAGACCAACTTCCGTGCAGCTGGGAGACTTGGTCGAGGGCAACGCGCTGCGGCAGTTTCAAAAAAGCCCCCTTTACCTAGGGGGCGACGTCGGTAAGTGATGTCATGACGTGCCCATCCCCATCGGAGGGGACTCGTGTTCTATAGAAGCCGAAATCGGCTAGGAGCCCACTCGGCAACGAGAAGCCGACGTTTGACTCCCCCGGACCCGCGATACACACCGTGTTCTTTCAAAGTCCCTTCGTTTCTGACGCCGGCTGTACGATGTTCGGGCTGTGGACGTCACGACCGTACGTTTTTTCTCTTCAGGGGAAGGAAACGTTCAGATTTTGCACCCGTTCGGGCCGGATAAGCTCACCGACAGCATTGAAGTCATCCCGGGCGTGAGTATCCGATGATAAAGAGTACTGTATTCACAAAGTCGCGTTCGCATTTGGCGTGGGCTTTCAGAGCTCGATCGATTGCCTTGCAACGACGGTGTGTGTCCATCCCGAACGATATGCGATGTCATCCAATATATCTTTCGTGTCGTTTGTGTTTTTTCTTCTTTCCCGTGTCAACTGTTTTTTCAGCAATTCACGCTTTTTCGTTGTCTCCCACCAGTGTCTTCCCGAAAGCAAGGGCAAATCGATTGTTCCACTTCGCACGAATCGTCTCGCCTCCCCCCTTCCACCGTGGTGTTCGCTGCGCCCCTCTCGCCGGACCGGTTGTCCGCTCCGCAGGTCTACATCGGCGGAGCGGTGGACGAGGCTGACCGCATGGTGGCATCTGGGAGAGCCAAAGTAGACGACTTCAAGTTTATGCTGCACCTGTGCGGCTGGGCGCCGGGGCAGCTAGAGGACGAGATTCAAAGAGGCGTGTGGATGCCCGTAGCGACGTCGACCAACGTGAGTTGCAAGAACAATTGGCGTCAAGTGTGTGTGTTGATTGATCCCACTTGCAGCTTGTTTTCTATTTTTTTTCTTGGTCTGACAAGAGGGAACTCTGGTCCTCCTTATTTCGAACTCGAAGAAGCGCCCCAACCCGCGCTGCACTCTGTCCATGCCTTTCTACAGGTGATATTGAAGCACTGCCTATCGCTGCCGGTTCCGATGTGGAGAGAGGTCATGACCCTTATGGGCCCCAAGTACGGCCTGCTCGCGAGGGACACGTACGACGACCTGTGATTCTACTCCTATTCGTTGAGACGGGATATTTCCTGTCGAAGGTCACTTGGCAAGACTCGGAAAAAGTGTAACCACCCTTTTCGGAACCTGGGTATGGCGACGTTGCGGTCCGCTTTGTTACATTTTTTTGCTTCCCAAGCGCTAGCAGTCAGCCGCAGTTTTGAGCTCAGAGTGCGCCGTCTAAGAACAAAGTATCAGCACCCTCTTCGCCGGTAATGTGCCGTTGTCGAACCTTGTATTATTGTCTTCCAACACAACTGTAGTGTGCGACATGTACAGCCGGAGCTCAGGGAAGCAATGCACAATCTGTATATAGGTAGCTATACTCGACTGTTGTGTCACCCCTCTTGTAGGTAGGCCACTATGGGCGCAAGATATTTGCAGAGCTGTCAACAAACTTGAAGAGGGTTCAGCCCGATTTGCTTGTATTTCTGTGCAACGATTCTTAGCGGTTACCGAAGAAGCGGTTACGTACCAGGCGGGCACGGTGTCAAGCATGATCAGGTTCTCGGCGCGGGCTGTTGGCTCGTTGTACTTGTCCGCTTCGCGCTTTTGAGCTCTGCCAGGTATGCATCAGGGTAAGTACTGCGCGGCTTCAAAGTTGGTTGGTGTTAAGACCCGATGGGCATGTACAACGGGGAAAAAAGCCGCGAACGCGCTAAATTATGCAGTCATCGATATCCAAAAGGGAGGGTGCCGAGGAGATTGGGTCGTGCGTGAACGCGCAATACTCATGGAATCACGCTAAAGAGGGCACTAGCCCCCAACGGGACATTGCCTTCTCTGTCCGATTATGGATGTTTCACCTGTGCCAATGAAACACAACCAGCACTTAATGTTTGCCCCCATGCCTTTCTTCGGGCGCCCGGTTAGCGCCCCGCTCGATGCCATTTATCAAAGAATCACGCGCACAGACGCCCAAACAGCCAATCCCCTCCTCCACCCTCCTGTGGAGTGGAGGGGACCGTGGAGTAAGAAATGTTGGCGCGTTTTTCCCGACAAATACCAGACTTTTTTTCGTTGGTCACCCGGCTAGCGCGCGCAGTCGACGCCATGACTAGAATGAGTGTGTAGCCCCCTCGCCGATGCGACAAACGTCCTTTTCACTGTTAAGCCGGTAAGCGTGGTCGACGCCGACTACAGTAGAACAGACCAGTTACGCTACAAGGTTCTTGTGTGTAAGCCTAGACGCCATGCATGTTGTAGATAAAAGATGTAAATTGTCCATCTCTTCGCTCGATCAACTCGTTTAGACGGCACGCAATGCACACACCTTCCAGCCAGCCCCTCCTTCGATTTTTACTGCCCAGACCTTTGCTATTGTGCGAAACCTTATCACAAGAGACCAGTAGTCACGTCACAGCCTGAACCTCGGCATCCGGCATCGATCGGCCATTCTCTTCGCTTGGAGGCATCTTGATCTCATCCATCAGCATGCAACGTTACCACCGACCTCCCCCACACACCCTCACTCCCCGCGCGAGAAAAAATATTCCACAACTGATGTCACCCACCAGAAATTTGCCCAACTCGTCACTCCTAGTTTTTCGCACCACAGTCATTCATCGTTGTCTATACATGCCACTCAATATCGACGCCACAAAGATTACGCGCTCGATGCCCGGAAAAAACTTCAAGAATTACCCAGATGAATATACACAACCACGGATACCCTAGTACGAAACCAGAAAAAGTACGGAGTAGACAGTACCGGGTAGGCACGCTTTGGTCATCATCCGGTTCTGTAGGGTATGATACGAACTGCGGAAACCCGTTAGACACCGTCCACGTGGCATACCTTCGGCACATAGAACTAGATGAAGAGCATACAAATTCTCCGGCCGCTGACTCTCGAAGCTGGATGGGGTGTCATAAGACACGTGGACTACCCGTTGCTTCTCCAGCACTTGTTTGGTGCCACTAACGTTTGCACCACAAACACCACTAGCACATCACAGGACATACCCTCGAGTACAGAAGGGCAACGGGGTCGAACCACACATCGAACATGAAATCAACAACACATGAATCGCCTTTCCCTGAAGCGTACGATCTCGGGGAACCGCAGAAGAATGGTGAAGCCGCCTGCTCCCAGCTCCTTTTACCAATGACGCGAGCCCGCACATTGTCGGCGTCACTACAATACGAGCAGGGACGCCCAGTCTCGAAAGAGGGGGTGTGGGTGTACTCATAGTCGTGCATGCCGTAGTCGTTAGACCATTGACCTCGCATCCCTGCAAAGCCAGGACGGAGCACGCCGGGTTCTCACCGGACCAGGCTCTCACATCACCGAGCGCGAAGCGCCGTGAGAAATTCGGCGAGTCGCATGAAGGGTGCGCTGCATCCTGCCAAGGGTGTTCGGCATCTTGTGCTTACTTCCTTGTATACGAATGACAACTGCGTATGACTTAATTTAATTTCTGGTGCTTTCACTTCCAGAGACTGTTGTAGGCGCGTAACTGCCTCGATGGTGCTTGACCAATTTAACACAACGTGGTGCGACTATTCCCTTTGCGCCGAGTGAGGGTTCTCCACCCCGCACAACATGATCTACTCGAACACCATCATCATGTTACCGCCGAAAAAAAAGAGAGGTTAACAAAAAAAAAAAACGGTAACCTGGTTGCCGAGTTCACCAAGTGAATTGGCCTCTGTTACAACGTCGTTGCCAAGCGACGAAAACCCAACCCCGATGGCAAACGCCGGGGTCTCGAAAGGAGGTGATTGGCCAATTCTCACCCGACCAATCCGGGTAGCAAAATATGTTCGCTCTCCGGAGGCCATGATGAAGAAAAAACTGCTGCGAGCTCCAATCCAAACATAGTTCGCCATCTAATAAGGCAAGGTAGACTATATAACGAGATCAGATAAAATGAAACCGAAAATCAAACTTTGAACCAAGTATCGTCCCACGACCGAGAGCAAAACGTACAAATCAACGCAACACATGAACATCGCGTTGCTGTGGGAAGATAGTACATCAACATAATCATGGAGAACAACAAATTGCCAATAAACCCTTGTCGAGCTCCTCCAACGATATCCGAGCTACGATTATTGTCCTTGGACAAACCACACGAACCGACGCATATCTCAAGCCATACAAGGACGGCGTCCGTCAATCAAACGTGAAGTTGCGACCGTTTCCACAGCCACTGCCACCTCCAATTTCGATACCGCCGAACGCCCCATGATACCGCGTAGCCGCTACGATGGGGGCGGCGACTCCTCGAAAGAAGCGCGCCCGAAAATAATCCATCAGATATATACCCCAGGCTCATCTCCGGCTCTCATGCTGTGTCCATGCTCCACCATCTCGTTCCAGGGAAGAGAGGAGAACGTTACCTTCCGTGCCGGGCCCCGCCGGTGAGGTCAAAATCATGCCATATGATGTAGCCCCTTCCACACACGTGCTCTCGAAACCGGTAACGGCAGACAGGGCCCGCGTAAGATGGAGCTCGGAAAGGAAACTGCGAGCGGCCGCGTCTGAAACTATTATGCTCGCCGGAACTACTCACCCCCAACAACACAGCATCATCCCGCCGTTGCAGTTGCCAGCCCCCGTCTCGGCGGTTAAAGAAGGGTGGCACCAAGTGCGGGGGCGTAAGGCTCCGACAGGAGCGGGACACGCGCCTCGTCGCCTCGGGTTCGCATCTCGATGTTTCCGCGTTCCCGGGAGTTCGGCCTCCTCGTACCCGAAACGGCCTTGGAAACCAGGCAATCAAGCAACCGGTGTGGGCATACACAGCAGCATGGACGTGCAACGCGATGGTCAACCTCGCAAGAACAACATGGCTAGATCTCTCGCTGGCTCCACAAGATCAGCAATGCACGGATGTGTCCCGCGAAAACCACGCGAAATTGCGACGTTTCAGCAAGCGACTTCCCGAACGTATCCGCCATGTTGGAAGAGGGTTGGGATAAGTCACAAACACTTTTATATCAGGTTTTCGTCGCACGAAATAAAAGCAAGTGTATGTCTCTATCCGGGACTAAGTCACCAGTACTGTCTCGAACCCCTCAAACTCTCGTAAATAATCCCTCTTCAACCGTAGCCGCTACTGTATGCGAAGGTTGCTGAACCTCTATCGCGAGAAAAATACATCGCGTAGCAGCAGCAGCATGGTCCCGCATGAGGGTAGCCTTCCAAATTGCTCACTGTCCAAGAGCAACTGAGGTACGTTAAAGCTAGATGCGCATGAGCGTTGTGTATTGTCGTGCCAGCCATCGATTTTGGGCACCTCCGCACCTTTTCGGTGCATGCTCGACACACTAGCTGGAGCAAGTCAAGCATACGACTTTCGTTTGTCTTCAGAATGAGTAGAGGGGTACGTGGTAACATGATTCTGGACACCTCCGCCCGTTCGTGATGTTCACGAAAGACTTGCCGAATAAAAGAAAAACTGAACGAAGAAAAAGACAGCGTGTACCACGAAAAAACTCCAACACTTGGGGGCTTACAGGAAATTGGCCTTCCTCTTGGTGCTTGGTATGCCGCCTGGCGGTGTATGTGGGCTTGATGGAGTTGACCTGCCATCAGCAAATGCATGCATGTCAGCTACCATGATATGTTATCGAATGCCCTCACTATCGAACAGTGAGACATCAGTGGCTAATACCAGCGGCTAATTGAGACGAGCGTGTTTACGCCAAGAAACTGATCCTGACGCCTATCCACCCGTTCGGGAATAATCAATGGTCATCACGTATTGGTGACACCGCTCGACGCGTCTCTCACCTGCGAACACCTTCATGATAAGACGTTGCCCCCAACATACATGTCTCCAAGTTTGAGGAAAACAGGAGGAGGGCCGACCGAGCACAAGAGGTGCAACGGTGTCGCCGAAAAAAAACCGCGGGAAAATGCACACGTGGCAACCTTCCCATCCCCGGTCCCCGCTCCCCTCCTCCAACGTCTCACCCCTGCCCCCTGTTCGGCCTCCCAGCGATTTTCCGCGCGCCACTGAGCCAAGGCCTTGGACAGCTCCCACCCGTTGCTCTCGAGGTAGAACCTCGATTCCTCGGCACCAAGCTGGGAATCCTTGCGAAACAACTGCATCGTGTCATTTCTAGAGATGGGCTCTTTGCCGGAGGCTCCTTGGATCGGCTGTTACAGGAGGGAGGGGCGGTGGGAGATGACATCGAGGGCAGGGGACGGAGGAACGGAGCTTGCTGTATACCATTCCAATAAGGGCGGCACAGGGCGCGCTAGGCCAATTTAGCACGGAGCCCCGAGCCCCGAGAGGGTTAAGGCGAGCTGATGATGAGTTGACTGCACCTCTATTAAGCACCTCGCACATCACCGCTCAGAGACAAATAAAAATACGCAAGCTTGTGATTGTCGGGGGGGGGGGGG